TTTTTTTTTTTTTTTTTTTTTTTTTTTTTTTTTTACTGACGGTTTATTTATTTAAGATTTTTACTACAATTATTTTTAGACTGAGACACTTCTGATTTGTTCTATTGGCTGTATGCCATGGTTGCCTTCGATTTTGTTTGACCTGCATCCCCTAATGATTAACACTAGTAATTTGTTATAGTAGGTGCAGTGGCCTCGTAAGGCTCTTTTTTCTGATATCTAATATGTGTATTGGCATTGTGAGTTGAGACAGAATTTATTAAATAAATAGAAATCTCATGTTACATTTTGAGGTAGTTTGGCAGCTAAGGAGTAGGGCTGATGATTGTTATAGTTGAGTAGGCCTTGGAAAGCTCTTTCCCCTGATGTCTATTATGTATATATTTGAATACCAGTTTAAAATCATGTTCAACGGAAAAACGTTCCGATGAAAAGAGGTAACCTGGAATCTAGAGTTAGAGTTGATCCCAAACACAGTGTGTGCGCCACATTGTTGTGGAAGTTTCAAAAGAGGTAACCTGGAATCTAGAGTTAGACTTGATCTTAAAGGGAGCTTTCGACTATAAAAGGGGTTTATCAAACAAGATCGGAATTAGCTATTTTCAAGATTGGGGAAAAAATGCAGGACGGGTCAAAAGACCAAGTCCTTTTATCTTAATGAAAAGAATTAAAAACAAATAATGTCAATGAAATTGAAACGTTTTTAATCTTGGTCTTCACTGTGTTGCTTCAGACTTCAGAACTGTCAGTTTTACCTTTTGAATTCTGTTCTTTGCTTCCTAGTTGTTTAGACATACTTTTCTGTTGCTGATGATAGATTATAGAATACTTATGGGAATATCACTTTATATGGGTAATTAAACTTAATTTAGACCAAGTGATCGTATGCACCTGTTAACATTTTTTAGATTTTCTTACTTTGATCGTTTGTCTCACTTCTTCCTCACATTCATCATTGCATTCCTCTGTCTAAAATTCGATTGACAATGTCACTTGATTTCGTTTTCCTCAGGGTCCAACTGTTGGTGATGTTGATGGGGATGGCCATACTGAGCTTGTTGTGCCAACACTCTCCGGGAAGATTTATGTTCTTGATGGCAGGGATGGGTCATCCGTTGGACGGTATCCATATCCAACTCATGGAAGAATAATGAATCAAGTTCTTCTAGTCGATTTAAATAAACACAAGGAGAAAAAGAAGGGATTAACTATTGTTACCACATCATTTGATGGTTATTTGTACCTCATTGATGGACCTACAGGATGTGCTGATGTTGTTGACATTGGTGAAACTTCGTAAGAGATTCTTTAACCTTTATGTCATTCATTTGCCTATTTTCTTTTAGTTGTGACATGAGTTATTTTTGCTACAGGTATAGCATGGTCTTAGCAGACAATGTTGATGGTGGGGATGATCTTGATCTGATTGTCACAACTATGAATGGCAATGTCTTCTGCTTCTCAACCCCGTCACCTCATCATCCTCTGAAGGCAGGATATGTTTAAAATTTGATTGTTGAAACAATTTCATTGTTGTTACTGAATTGTTTTGTACGTTGTTTCAGGCATGGAGATTACCTGGTCAAGGAAGAAACAATGTTGCAAATCGGTACAATCGTGAAGGGATCTATGTTACTCATCCTTCTAGGGCATTCCGTGATGAGGAAGGCAAGAGCTTTTGGGTGGAGATTGAGATTGTAGATAATTACAGATACCCATCTGGGCATCAAGGACCATACAAAGTCACTGTAAGTTCTTAACCAAATCAATTTATTTCTATAGATCATTGATTCTTTGGGAAACATTCAATTTATGTGTCATTCATTTTTCATTCCGTGTAAAATCATCAGACTTCCTTGCTAGTACCTGGTAATTACCAAGGTGAGAGAACGATAAAGCAGAACCATACCTATGATCAACCTGGTAAATATCGAATAAAGCTGCCAACAGTGTCGGTAAGGACGACGGGAACAGTTTTGGTTGAGATGGTTGACAAAAATGGACTGTATTTCTCTGATGATTTCTCCCTGACATTCCATATGCACTACTATAAACTGTTGAAGTGGCTTCTTGTTCTTCCGATGCTTGGGATGTTTGGTGTGCTTGTTATCCTTCGCCCACAAGGTTCAATGCCATTGCCATCATTTTCAAGGAACATTGATTAATGATTACTTTGTTTCATACACTAGTCATCATTCAGTTCAGAAAATGTGAATATTTTATGTCAAATTGAATAGAATCTGTTATGGTGAGTGCCTTGGGTGCTGCGGTGAGCTTTGATCACGGAGTTGAAGCAATCTTTTACAAGCTGAAGAATCAGTTCAGCTAAGTTGAGGTTTACTTTAGAGATAGTTGAAGATTGCAAGAGTGAATGATATCTTAATGGCGGGATTTTGCCCTTAATGTTGTAGTGTAGTGTAATCTGATACTGAAATGTTTAACTGAGCTACATATACTTTTTTCCATCTTTGAAACAAACTAGATATTTATAATTAATACACAGTTTTCTCCGAGTTTGAGCTTTTCCAGTTTTTGAATATTGTGTATGCCGATTTGTGTTGGCTCAGTTCTGATGCGGAAATGACCAAATAAAGCAAAATCTCTTTAATGTGTTTGATGCGAATAAGAAAATAATTAGTCCTTTTATTGAAATAATATTTAACATTTTCTTTTAAATCTTCAACGTAAGACACAGGAAACCTCGGTTCTTATTCTTTGATGAAAACATTGTTTAAAACTGTCAAGGTGAAGGGATAAGAGATAATCAGGGTTTTTATATTTGTCTGTCTTAAATAAGACTGCTTCCGGTCTTTGGCATCTTACTAAGATTACTAACACATAATCTATACAAGTATTTTTTTAACAATCTTTTTAACAAGTCTCTATAGGCTCCACTAATATTTTGACTTGTTTCTCAGCAAATATCCTTTAACTCAGCCTTTATAGGCTTCAATCATGTTTCATTAGAAAAAAGTAAGGATAAATATTAACATACTGATGCCATCTTTGATAGACAAATGTACAGATATTAAGTCTTCAAAGTAAGGCCACTTAATTAGAAAATTATGGATAGGATTACGAGACATACAAATTCTTGGTGAAAGCAAGAATTTGTATTTTTTAATAAATTATTTTCTTATGCTGTAATTAAATACATAAATATGAGTGAAAAAATATTTTTAAAAACTTTTTTTTCTCTCATAAAAATTATTTTAAATTTTAATTTATTTAACAATTGGATCATTATTATTAGTCTTAGTTTTTAATGATAATCATATTAGAATTAAGATCGAAAAGAAACTTGGATTTTTATTATTTGGACTATATTTACGATTTATTTATATATTAAAAAAATATAAAAATTGAAAGATATAAATTCTTTCATGGTAATCTTTATGGACTTTCTTATCACCTTCAAGGATAATCATTTGTTCTTCAAATTTTGAGGTAATTATAATCTTCATAAAAGATGGTCATTCTAAGACCTTTGTTTCTTTTACTTTAGTCTTTTAACTGGACTCATAATTGAATGTTGAAGCATTTAATATTTTTCACCAACTTGTCAATTTATTAAGATAAATCTATCCATTTATGTTTATCTTTTTTTAAGTATAAACTTTTATACTTTACAATGCATATATACTTTTAGGATCATGTTAAATATTACTCTAAGAGTATTGGTTAAGAAATCAACAAGTAAAAAGTTTTCATTGAAAATTATAATAAAGTTACGAAAGTAAATGTACAAATACGTTTTTCAATAAAAATTTATACTTTTGAATTTTGATTCTTTAAAGTTAACATTTTCCATACTTTTATTCAGAACAAGTACAGATTCATACTTTATAGAGGTAGGCAACATCTTGACTTGAGGTGTGGAATCAGCATTATCTCTTGACTTTTCTTTGAGGCTTTCATGATACGCTTCTTTGTTTATAAGATAGTTCTTTTATTACTAAAACATAGTCAAGATTGTCCAAGTAAATAATTTGTAAGACTATACATTTAACGATATGTGCATTCTGTTATTGTTTATATAAGATGATATGTCCTGTGAGTCTAATAAAACATGTATAATCTTTTTACAAACGCTTGTTTATAATCTTTATTTATTCTTACAAATCATATTTATTTGTTTTAATCAAAATATTTGAGGTTCTTAGTTTCTCCTTTAACTCAGCATTCAACCCATAATAGTACTTATGTGAATTTCTTAGAACTCTAGAAATACAATAAAGTAAAAAATATCACAAATGCAAAATGTTTATCGTGAAGATAGAAAACATAAGAGGTTGCTTAAATTATGTTTTTTAAAACTTTTTTGAAAATATTTTTTTAACACGTTAATAAATAAACAATATATATTCAATATAAATGCATCGCATTCTAGACATATCTTAAACTTGGTTAACTGAGCTTAGTTAGGTCCAATACATTCTGTTAGTTTGTTATTCCTTCTATTATACTTAGTTTCAAGATTCAACTACTTTAAAGAAACTTCTTGTGTATCTATCATCGCACTGTATTAGACTACTTTATAAAGGAATATTCCCCTCATTCTGATTCTGAGTATCAATCTCAAATAGGGAATCAAAGAACCCTGATTCTTTAACCCTTCTTCGACTACATCCTTCTCAGGTTCTCTAGGAACCTTCTAAAATAATAATTTTATAAATAATATAAAAAAAATTCAAATAATTTAAGATGTGGCATTTTGATATTCTTGTTTGCTTTTAAAAATCCCATCTATGGTCAGTAAATTTGTCACTAGTTAAGTTCACTAATAACATCCATAATCAAATTTGCTGCGAAAACAGATGAAAATAGAAGGGATTTATAATTACACGCAACAATTGCAGTATCCCACAAAATATGTCAACCAGACTGGTATCTTGTATACTTCCCAGTTCCTAGTTTTTGAACATCAAAGAGCCTTGTTTTCAGAAATTTGTAGCTAACCACAAAATACCATCTCTATCAAAGACTTTGAATGAAGTATCTTCACTTTCATTTAGTCATAAACTGACATGGTGCACACATATTGTCCACATAAGAACAAACATAGAGTAAGTTTCTGTTCAATTTCATATAAGGATCATAACAAACCATAGTCTGGTGGACATCTAGACACACTGAATTGGATCCTGCAGAAACTCAGAAGTTTAGGTCGCAAACTTAACAAGTATCAATTCGGTCCCTTACTTTGAAAAGCACTATCACATTAATTCCTGACATTAAAAATATAGCAATTGAATCTCTCTTTTTATTTCTTTAGTCATTTTGGTCCTGTGGTGGTTTAGTTAACAGTAAATTGTAAAAGTTAGGGACTATAAGGATATTAAGTTTGTATATATCAAGAACTAAAATGATAATAAGTTATAAAAGTTTGGAACAATAATGAAAATGGGAAATTTATTTGTTACTTTTTAAATGTCAGGAACTATTATGAGAACGTTCTACAAAGTGAGAGACCAAAATAATAATTTACTCCAGACTTAAATTTTCAACTAGAGACAACAAACTTGTATTTTCAACTAGAGACCTTCCCTTGACAGACTTGGAATTTGGAAACAGAAGAAAGGAAGAGCAACAAAATGAAAGCATATAGAAATCAAATATTTGCTGGCATGCAAAAATCTAACATTAAATGCAAGTAAACATTTTGAATATTTAATTCTGGCTAGCTCAAACTCGAGCAATGGAGAAACTGAACGTTGGTAGCACTCAATATATCCAAAAGATTCATCTAAGGAACACTGACAGTGCAGTATATTAAATCAATGGTCCTGTTTCACCAGAAGATCAAACTATTTATATTTTAGAGATTTTTTTAATAGTAAAAACAAATTTAGTTGGATAAGAAAGACTGCTAGAAGAAATTCAGGATAAGATCCTCAAGAAGAAATAAAATTAAAAACAAATGAAGAGTATTTCTCATGCCTCTACTTACCTGTCATGGAAATTCGTCTTCAAGAACCCCAAAACGAGGTCATAAAATCATCCTAATCTATAAATTCAAAGTTAACAAATCTTTATAGATGAACACAAGGAAATTTTGCAGCTCTAATGGTTGCGTAATTCAACTAGATATTATCATGTTTTGATTTCAGTTCGAAACCTCAAACATAACAATGGTTTGGACAAAAGCTTCATAAGACAAGCTTTTGTGATGTTGGGGACTTTACCAACTACATTCCAAATACACATTATAATAGAATAAGTACTTTGTATTCTGCTTGATGATTTAAATTGGTTGTTATTAACAAATCTCTCAAGGACGTTATCAAATTATGAAATTATATCAGAAAGAGATAACTTAATTTTCCTTGATATAAAAAAGGCATACTTTAAAGTTTAAAATCAAGGAATGGACTAAAGCACGTGCAAATTTGATCAATTTTCCCTATCTAAAATGATTGAAAAAATCAACATTGATTGACACAAATAATTTCGGTATATATCTCTTAACTAAGATATCTAGATTTTAAATCATGGCATTAAGTATGAACTATGAAGTAGATTATGTTAAGAGAAAAATCCTCACTTTGTGTATACTCACGGTCTCCAATTAGTCACTGTTTCCGATAGTGGATATTTCGTACTAATATCATGGTTAAAAAAAAAGAAAAGAAAAGTGAAAGAGAGTAAAAGGTGAAAGCTACTATCCTTTCTGAATCTCTAGGGTCAAACAAGGAAATGGAGTTCTAGATGCAATAAAAAGGCTTAACAAGGAACCTTCATAGAATAATACTATATTAGAGTTAACACACAACTTTGTCCACTGAATATACACAGGACATGTAGTTGACCCTCAACAGATTTTTGTACATCAATTTAGTCCAAAACTGCTATGCAATATCATCCCTTCAGGCCTTCACATAATTTTTGACCAATATTTTCAAGGTTGTGATGAACACTGCTATGTGATGGAATTAGCGCAGATTCTTTTATCAAATAATACAACACTGCAGAGCCATTATTTTTTCTCCTCATAAATTTCTATTCGTACGTAAAGGTTTTAAATAACAGTCTGCGATCACAATTGCGGCCACAACGTCCTGTTTTAGGCTCTCCATGACCACATCATTGTCGCAAGTGTAGCTGCATCGACCACAAAGCCACAACTGCGACCACAATTTAAAACCTTATGTAACTATCAACAATGATGTTTCTGATCTTTTGTAAACTGTTCTCAATAATTTTCATTGCTTTTGCTCTTCGGAGATTGTTGGCATTATCAGCACATCTTCAGCATCTTTGTGCAGCAGCGCACAAGTTAAACCACATTCTTCCAATGCCCTTTAGCTTCACAGGCATATTCAGCTATGATGTCTCACTCTCACCAAAATCACTCACACACAACATCAAGTAGCAGCACCACACACATATAGGGTCCAACATTCATTCAGCAACAAGACATAGCGAAATCATCCACACCCCCCAAATAACTTATTAAAACAATAAAAAAAGAATTTGTTCTAAATAATACACAAAAATTCAAGTTCCAATTTTTATTCAAAAATAAATGAAAAGCTTACACAAAAATCAAAACACTTGCAGCACAGGTCTCTTGCCAAGCCTTTTGATCTCCCTATCCATGTTGCCAGTGAGCATGAAGCCAAACATCTTGAGATCACACAAGAGGGACCAAAAGGGGTGTCTCAAAGTCTCAGGGAAATTCCTCTCAACAAACAAATGACTGTAGAAGGCACATCCATAGGCAGAGAAAGGGACAAGGAGCAAGAACCACCAGCTGAAGAGGAGAGAACAAAGGAAGAAGAGAATGCTGAAGAGTGTTCCCGCGAAGTGCCATCGCCTTGTGGAAACCTTGGAGTGATGGTTCATGTAAAAGGCCCAGAAATCTTCTAGGCTCCTGAAATTCATCGCTTTGAATTGAACCCAAAATTGTGAGGTTAATTTTAAGGTGAAAATCGTTTGTGGGTGCTGTTGAAATCGTGGATTGGGAATCAAGTTGGAATCTTGTTGTTGGTGTGAGGATACTGTGAATGTGAATTGTTTGTTGACCGAGACTTCGAAGTTGAAACTCGAAAGGTGAAGTGTTGTGTTCTGGTTGGTGTATGTCTTATGTTTGCTTTCAACTCATTTCTCTTCTTTATTTTTTCCCTTATAATCCGTTTATCAAGACAGTAATTAATGAATTGATAAATATCAATACACTAATTAATGAATTAATGAATATTTACTCCATTCCAACCTAACTGCAATTCAATTAAAAATTAAAAAATAATAAATATATCACTTTTCTATATCTTTTTATCCATAATTTTTATGTTTTAGATTTTTTTATTTTAATTTTTTGTTTACATGTTACAATTTTAAATAATATTAATTAATTTTTTCACGTATATTCTCATTTAATAATTGTTATTTTTATTCCATAATTATTCTAGCTAAAAATATTAAATAAAGATATTTTAAATTTAATATATTATATTAAATATTTTTTAAAGGGTGCGTAAAACTTTAAACACAAATTATGTATCCGAGGGAATATAATTTTACTAAAAAAGTCTTGCTAACCAGTGTGCTAAGCATTTTCCTTTTACTAAAACAACCTTCTACTTTCATTATTTTAATTGTGGTAGTGGAAGAATTTGAGAGGAAAAATATTAAAATAATAATTAATGGTACTTTAAAAATTATATTAATAATATTTAATTTTTTGACTTTTAATTTAATAATTTTATCATTTATTTTTTTAGAATATTTTTAGATTTAAATATATTTTTAAGTCCTATAAAATGTAAGTTTTGACTTTATTTTTTTATAAAATTTTATTGTTTTTGTTTTTTTTTATCTCTATAAAATTTAAAGTTATTATTTTTTATCCTTATAAGATAAGGAAATTAGTTTTGATCTTTATAAAATATATATATATATTTTTTTTTACTTTTATCCTTCTAAATTTTGAAATCACTAATTTTAGTCCTTAATGTTATTTTAAGATGAATAAATAACTTCTATTTTAAGTTTCTTAAAATTTTTTAGAAGTGTCCCTTGCTAATATAATACTACGTACATTAATAGATGTTATCTAAAATGGTCACTTGATTTTTTAATTTGTCATATAAGAAATTAATGAATGTCAAATAATAGTAGGACCAAAATAATACCTTTTCATTTTTTAGGATGAAATATATATATATATATATATATATATATTATATAAAAATCAAAATCAAAACTCATTCATTAAAATACTGGAGGAAAAATTGCTAATGGTATTAAAAAAGTGCAAGGTATATAAAATGTGAATGAAAAAGTATATGATATATTATTTTCACTTCTGTTGATAATAGTTACCAAATTTCAAGGACTATAAACATTATACTGTAAGATATTATAAAATTAAAAAATATTTGATATTGGTAACAAGATGGATGTTTTTATCAAGTGAAATGCCACTTGACAAATTTAGGGTTTAGATTTACCATTTAGGATTTAGGATTTAAGGTAACTTTTATTCTTTTTCTTTGAATTTTTTTGTCACAATAATAAATAAATAAATATTAGCAATTAAGGTAAAATGATACTCCCTCTCATTTTCAATATAAAAAAATCATTCATACTAATTAAGTAATATTGTTTACATCATTTAATTTTTTTAATCTTACATATCTAAAAAAAATAACTTATTTTTTAAAGCTATCATTCCTTGAAACTTGATATTAAAAATAAAAAACATTAAAAATAAAATATTAATTAAATGAAAGAGCATTTTAATAATGACAATATTAAATAGATTAAGATTAGTTGAATTTTTTTTATATTTGAGACATTTCATTTATAAATTCTTAAATTTATTCATAATTTTTTGACTATAAATATATTAATTCTTGAAAATGTAAAATTTAATTTTTTCCTTTTAAGAATAAAAAATGTTAATTCAATGATCATAATATCAAAATGTTCGTGGGACTTAATAATTCTTAAAAATTAAAGAGGATTTTTAACATTTAAAAAAAATTACAAATGTTAATTCACAGAATAATGTGTCGAGTATTTATAAGTTAATATGATTAAAAATTTTAATTTTTAAGAATTAAAATAAATATTTTACATTATAAAAAAATTATATATAAATATTAAATTTTTCGTGATTGAAATTAAAAATTTACGTGATATTTTTATTTTTATGAATATATACCTTTTGTTTTACTCTCTTTCTATCTCTTTCTTTTTTTTGGAATAATTTTTGTAGTTTTTTTTTAATAATTTATTATAGATGTAAGTTCACCCTTTGTTATTATAGGAAAAGCATTCTTTCAAGACCGTATCTAGAAATTTTGGAGCCTTAGGTAAAAATTAAGACAAGGGCCTATGTTAATGTATATAGTCTAATAATTTTTATGTTATTTTTCTAGCTTTTTGTGTTGCAAAATTATTTATTAAAGTTTTATAATCAAGTAATTCTAACATTTCACTCTCAATAGATAATATAGTTAACTCATTCAATTTATCTTATAGCATAGTTGATCTTAAATATGAGTTAATCAAATTTAATTTAAAAAAACTTTTTTTAGAAGTCGCAACAGTTACATGTAATATTAATAATATTCTATAAGCAATATATGTATTTGGAAAAGAAAATGATATTTTTATATAGTTCAATATTTTTAATGGTGTGTTAATTAATTTCATTTTTTAGAATTTCTTTCAATAATTTTAATTCTGAAAACAAATCAAGACCATCAATATCAGAATGGTCCTCAAAACTCAAAATCTTTTTAAGATTGATACAATATTTTTTCAATTCATCTTCCCCTAAAGTTTTAAATTTATTTGAATCAAATAAAAAACCAAATATGTTTTCATATTCTAAAAATTGTTCAAATCGACTCTCAATAGAAAAAATAGATTAATCTAATATATGCAAAAAATAATCAATGCGAAAAGAATCCTCAACAGAATGAGCTATCTCATCACCATCAATGTCATCAAAATATTTTCTTATGAATTTTACGTTTTTCATTGAACTTAGGCTCTATATCCATTTCAATAGTCATTTCTTTGGTGGATTCTAATGCAGATGCAAAACTATTTTCCCTATAATTTTTTAAATAAGTTATAAGACCTTTTAAGTGATATATAGTAACATTTATATGTATATCTTTAGACTGCATGATCTTATTTATATAATTAATTGCAAAAAGTATCATACCAAATATTCATTCCCAATAAAAATTTAAAATTCTCTATCTCATAAGTCGCTAAACACATGGCTTCACTCTTTATCTTAGGATCCTCACTAGTTTTCGATAATTGAACAAGTGCATCCCTTATTTTTGGTGCTTGAAACTTTATGACTTTAACACTTTCAATTTTACATTCCCATCTTGTTTGAGATAATGATTTAATTGAAAACTTAGATACATTTTCTTGCAAGATTTTGCACCATTTGGTAGAAAAAGCAAACAAAGAATAAATACGTTGCAAAACTCCAAAAAAAGAAACAACTCTAGTACATGAATTTGCCATATCACCTAGAACTAAATTCAAATTATGACAACTACAAGGAGTATAATATGCTCTAGGATTTATGTCCAACAATCTCTTTTGTACTCCTTGATTTTTACCTTTCATATTAGACCTGTTATCATACTATTACCCCCTAATATCATTAATATCAAGGTCATATTTTTTTAATACATGAGTAAGTTCCTCAAAAAGACCTTTTCCTATTGTGTCATTGACTTGTAAAAACTCTAAAAAATATTATTCTATTTTGATTGGACAACTCAAAGTATGAACACATCTCAAAATAAGAGTCGTTTGCTCTTGATGACTTGCATTTGGAGTACAATCAAGAATGATAGAAAAGTATTTTGCATCTTTAACTTTTTTAGTATAATATTTTTTATTTGAGAAGCTAACAATTCTATAAGTTCATTCTGTATAGTCTTACTCAAGTAATGATTATGAAGTTTATCATTCTTTATACACTTAACATGCTCTTGCATAACTGGATCAAATTTCGCTAACATCTCAATCAAACTCAAAAAGTTTCCATTGCCTTTTTGGTATATTTTTTCATTTGTCCCATGAAAGGCTAAATTATTTTTAGAAAAATGTTTAACTATGGCTATAATCCTTACCAAAACCTTCTCCCAATGTTCCTTCTCCTTATTAATTTGTTCTTAGATCTCCTTATCAATTGTATTTTTCTTTCTCAATCTTGCTTCTATATCAATCTATTTATCCATATTATTTACATGTTCATAACTTGTTTCATGACTCTTAAGCTTGGAACCAATATTTTTCCAATCTCTAGTACCTTCATTAACTAATTGATTAGTAACACAAGCACTACGTTTTGAAGAAAACAACTTACAACAAAAATAATACACTTTATCTAAATCCTTTGAATAAACTAGCCATCTTCGATCGTATTTTTCTTCATTTGACATTACTTTTTGGTAGTAAAATGAAGAAAAGTGTCTATTATTTTCTTCTTTTGGATACTTCATATTGTTATATCTAGTTGGACCATTTTCAACTATTAAATCTCTAAAGTTTTCATCAATATTTTCCTATTGTCCTGGATCATAAATATTTTTAAAAACTTCATAAATATTTAATGTACTATCTTCTTGACTAGGATCAAGACTATTGATATTGTTAAGATTTTCTACCTCTTGAATGTTTTCATTATCAATATTTTGCTCTACTATACTAATATTATTTTGGATTTCTAGTGGAGAATTTTCTGTCATATTTGTATTTGTTGAACTAGGTGTAACATCCTTTTTATGAACAATAACAAATTTATGAATAGCACCTTGTTGAGATTGAATTAATTTTTCAATTCTTCTATTTTTTTTCAACTTTTCAAAACCATATACATACTTTCTATTTGACATATTTTACTGATTGGCTAAAATAAAAATAACAAGAAAAATAATTTTTAAAATTAAAAGAAGATAACAATAAAACCTGGAAAGTGAAAAATTATATCCGTGAATGAAAATTTCTTTAAGCTATGGCTATGCACTGTTGTAGCTATGAGTACCCAAAATCGAAACTATAGTGACAATCACTTTGCTTGCACCTACAATGATAAATAATAA